ACATGTTCAAATATGTTCACATGGTCACCTCTAGATTTTCAAGGAAGTCACTACTTCCCTTGATGAGTACTTCAGGATCCCTCATTTAAAAAGCTGTTCATCTTGCCATATAGAGGAGTTTCTCCTTCCATGCCTGGTCCACACAGCCACGGTCTCTCCTCATCTCCACTGTGCAAGGTCCATGCTGGATCCTTTCATTCCTGTATGATTTTGTTTTTTTCCTTCAAAACCTAGGACTCCTTGTGAGTAAGGAAGGGCAGCCGGCATGAGCTACAATCCAAACCCTCGAGTGTGTACAGACTACCATATGACTCAGAGAAATATCCTGACTCCGAGTTCTGATTCTAAAGACATCGGTAAACTTCAGCCATGTGTTATCATCTTATTCACTCAGGTGTATGCCAACTTCATAGGCTCTAATGCAGGTCCAAGGAAAAGGAGGGCAGGAGGGAATGCTAAACCTGCTCTTGTTTCTACCCAACTGGTTTCTTCAGCTGGAATTCTGTAGCATCCATGCCAATCACAACACAAGAATTTTCCTAATGTTAGGAATATCTTTCCTGATGAACTCTCTCCTTGGTGAACTCTTAACTTGGTCAACGTCAAAGGATCTGCATGTCAAAACCCTCTGAAGTAGCTGATGGTCTTCTCCTCCTCCATATTTGGGGGTATAATTTTTCTTTCTTTTATGCTAAAGGAGATAAGGCAGAGGGAGGGAAAAACAAATACCAGATGATTTTATTCATAGGTGGAATATAGAGAAACAATACCAAGGAACTGATGAAACTAAATGAAAGCAAAGTCTAGAAATATGACTGCAGAACTGAGGATAATGGAGTGGGGATGTAGCGACAGGAACAAAGTGTGGCGGGGGCCCAATGGTCTATGGTAAAGGGATATGCATTCTCTGGGGTAGTGGGGCATGGTGATGAACATCTGGAGAGGTATGACCCTATCTTCCTGAATCATATACCATTGTTAACCCCCAAAAACAAATAAATAAAATTGAGATTTAAAAAAATGAATCCTTTTTCATAATATAGCAAAGTTCCTACACACCCTTTTCAAAGTCTGGTCCAATATGCTTCTCCTAAAACCTCTTCTACATGTTCTATCCGCTTCAAACCCTTTTAAGTTCTTGGCATAGATATTTTTGGGGGAAGTGTGATTAAACTCTTTCTGCATTGCTGCCCACCACAACTTAAACTAGAATAAGGAGATGAGGGGAAAATACATGTGAGATATATTTGCATCTCAAAATAGATACCATGGATACAAATAAGGAACAGCTGATAGTAGGCAAGGAATAATCTGCTTTCTGTTCTGGCTTTAAGCAGATTTTACATTGTGGCATGTGAAAGACAGAGAAGTGGGAGCTACTGATCAGAAAAAGACATTACTCCAAAGGTGCAAGAAATTAGGACAGATGCAATTCATGGCTTACAGACAGAATGCTTTTATTTGTAATTTATTTGTAATTGTTGATAGAAATCATATACTATTTACATCCATATTCACATATTGAAAATGTCAAGTGACTTCATGATGTTATGAACATTTTGTATCTGTATTTGTGCTTAGAATATCCAATGGGGCACCGCCTCTCAGATCCCTGCAATATCATTTGTTGAGGATTAGGTCATCATACTAAAAAACTAATTAAGAGTAGCCATATAACTTTATAAATTAGCCCGAACTAAGCTCTGTTATATGAGTGAAACCAACCCAAGATATAAAGATACAAAAAAATGTATCTAGGTATTCATCACCAGTTTATTTTTACTCGCTGAAATGCTTTCTTTCTCTGCTTTCACATGAAGATACAGGCAATTTCATGGCATATCCCAAGTGACACAGCCTTAATCCCAAATTAAAATGCTGAGCTCTATGTAACACTCCAAAACTCAAATTTGACATAAAGATCTCTTTGAGTCATGTTGAGTCATAGCAAACTTGGATTGGTGCTAGGGAAAAATGTTTCATCTCCTTTTCCTTACCCTGAATTTATACCCTTTACCCACCATCTTGTTAACTAATACTCTGACCCTTCTAAGTTTTGAGTGTAGTAAAGGATGAATTAAGGTGTGGATGGGAGATTGGTGGGTGGGGTAGCAGGAGAGAAAAAAGAAATAAGTTCTTGCACGGTGATGTTGCTGTCATACTCTGACTAAATAAAAACCATGTGTAATGCCACTCAATAAAAAAGAATTTTGGGTCTTCCTGGTGGCACAGGGGTTAAAGTCTCAGCACAATCAAGCTATTGTCAGCCATTGCAGCATGAGTTTGAGCTCCGAGCTCCATCCAGGGAGCTAACTCACTTGGAGAAGCAGACCTCTCCTGTTTCCCCACTGCTCCCCTCAGCAGTGTGTTTCAATAGATATGCCTGTTCTGCTCCCCACTCTGTCTCTGGTGAATCCTCTCACCCCTTACACCTCTAGCCTACACCTCAGTTCTTGAATGCATAAAAAACAAAAACAAATCTTTAAAAAAAATTTTTTTAATTATCAAGAAATAAACCATAGATCCCGAGAGAGATACCAAGTGAGCATCTTTCTATATGGTCCAAGAAGCTTTTATGAGAACTCCAAAAACCAGTTAAGAAGTGCAAATCCAAGAATAGTCACATTGAAATGGACAAGTAAAGTCACTGTGTTACTGTGTTTTACCCACTATAGACCTCCTTCCAAGCTGACACAGCTCAGCTAGATCAGGAGATGCCCTAACTCACAACTTCTTTCTTGGAAAGGAAAGAGATGAATGGACTCTATGTCACTCATTCTGGCTTTTTCCAAGGAAGTTATCTAAGGAATTGGTTTCTGACATGGAATCACCACACTTTGAATGCTTGGGGGTCCCTCGGAACAGAGCCTGACAGCTTGCTCAAGTCCCAAGAACATGCAGTACTATAGACATACACCAGAGGGCGCAAGAGATTGCGCTCGCCAGAAAGAGAAATCGACAAACTTAACTGGGGAAAATTACATGGCCAGCTCAAACAAGATGCCAAGGTTTGAGAGATCTGCAGAATCTCTAACAAGGCTTGATTCGTGAAGCTCTTCCCCTTAACCACTTCCTACTTAAATTATTCCTACTTATCAATATTTATCCCTAAATTTAATTTGCCTGTTTGGGACTTATATACACATGAAATCTTACAGGATGTGATTAGGTAGGTCTGGATCTTTCATATAAACATTTCACTTTGCTTTTAAATTATATCCACGTTGTTGGATTTTTCTGAATAATTTTCATTGCTATACAGATTTCCATGTATGAATACTTCAGCTTATCTAACCATACAACCACTAACGAATATTTCAGTTGCATCTGGTTTTCAACTACTGCAAAATACTACTATTCTAAACATTTTTGAAAATGTATACTGGTATATGTAAACATACATTTCTATAGAGTATATAAAAATAGGTGAAATTAAAAAAATAGGTGAAATTGTTGATAAAGAACAAGTCTGTTTAGCTAGACATTGCTACACATCTTTTCAAACTTATCGTATCAATTCACACTCCAAGTAGTAATGTATGAGAGTTCTTGTTGCTTCTCTTAGCTCACCTCACTGTGATGATTCATTGATATTATGCAGCTTCTCTGCTTGTTTTCCTAATGTCTGTTAATTGTATTTTAATCTATATTCTGTATTACAAAGTTTTCTTTGAAAATACAAATTTCTTATGTGACACCACTGCTTAAAACCCTTCAAGCACTTAATTTTATCTTTAAAAAGTAGAAACTCTAGATTTCCTGAAGTCGCATGCTTAACTCACAAAGTCTTTATCATTCCCCTCCTACCCTTTTATTTTTACTAGAAATTGAAACTTAAGTGACTCAGTTTAATCATAAGCCTGTGCATTAATTATAATTCCTTTAAACCTTCCCTGATGCCAACTATTATTTAAGTGTTCTAGGAAGTTCCACTTGAATTTCTACTATGTCCAGTCTCTTAGATGGTTTGTCTATTATGAAGCCTAACAATAGAAAGTGCCTGACTCTTTAGTGTGAAAGTTGCTTTGGAAAAATATTTGTTTGAAAAAAGACAATGTAGTGTCTAATGACGATTCAAAAACTTTTCAAAGGCAATCCCAATGTTTCTATGAAACATATCAAAAAAGCTCTCTCTCAAATCCATTGATCACGTCAATAGGCTCACCTATTCCACAGACTCACAGCAGGGTGACAGCAGAACAAAGCCAGTAACTTCATAATCCCAGCAGTATTCCTCCTTTCTCTTGGACGTATGAGGACTTTCAAAATATCTTTTCTTTGAACAAATGAGCAGGGAGAACAGATCTTTATCAATAGCTTAACATATATATTTACATACACACATATATATATGATATACGTATGCATATATCAAATATATCATTCATTTCTGCTCCAACCTAAACACAGATGACTACTTTTAACTGATCCAGGCTGGAAACGATCAGAAAGGTGCGGGATCCTCCAGATATTGGAGCAGTCCTATCCTCTTTTGCAGCCTCCACTCACACAAGGTCACCACTAACCACCCTTTAAAGCGTTTCATCCCTCTCGCCGGCCACATCTTCCGTTGTGTTTCGGGGTCCACCACTTTTTCCATGGAGATCCTTCAGGGTGTTATTTCTGAGGGTCGGCTGCACCCATTTGGGTGACGCTACTCCTGGCCTGAGTCCTCTTTGAATAGCCTTGAGGAAACAGAACAGAAATCGCAGAAACCGCAGGACACAAAGCGGAGCTGCAGGCGATACCTCTCAGCGACCCCCCTCCGCCCCAGCCCTACTGGGCGTCTGCGAAGCCCCCAGCGTCCCACCTGCTCCTCCCGAAGCACCCGCGGCCTCTGAGCGCAGGCGCCCTCGGGCCCCGCCCCGTTCCAAAGACTGGGCTCCTATTGGCCCAAAGGAGCGGGGTGGAGCTCCGAGGTCGCCGGAGCTGGGCGCTCACGTGACTGGAGGGGGCGGGGCTGCGCCGGCCGCTTCCCAGCCGGGCTGAAAGGGCTCGCGTAGCCGGCCTGGTCGGCCCGTGAGGCGCCCGCTGGCCGGCCCGGCCCCAGCTCCCCTCGCCGAGCAGCTCGGAGGGCTGCTCTTGACCCTCGTTGACCCCCCCCGATTCGCTTTCCTTCTTTTCCCCGAAGGTGAGCCCTTAGGTCCATCGCGGCTGTGCCTGCGACCGCTGGGAACCCGGGATCCGAGTGTCCGGAGAGTAACCGGAAGTGCTGTCCCAGGCCGAGGGGCGGCGCCCGCGGCTGCGGGGGTGAGCGGGCCCGCCGGGCCCGGGGGTGGGGGGTCGGCTTCGGGGTGGGGGGAGGGGCGCGCGGGACCGGAGACCGCCCCCCCCCACCCTCTCAGCTGGGGGAGCAGCCCGGCTCTGTGCCACTGAGCGGGGTCTGAGTCCCCCTGACGGTGGACTGCGGACTGAAAGGTGGTCAGTGAAAAGTTGAAAGACAGTAGCTTCGTGTGGGCTTTCCCAGGGATAATAAATACTGCCGGGCACTTTCCTAAGCTATGTAGAGCTACCATACGGGGGGGAGAAACCCAAGGACGTTGATGGACTCCCTCTTCCCCCATCGTTAGAGGTTAGTTGTGTTGCAGTTCCATCTATATGCTAAAAAATTGGATTTGTTTAATTATTACATACCATTTTTTGGAAGCCTGCATCATATATAACTTTGTATTATGTACATTTATCTTGCACATCTTGGGATTTATTTATAGTGGTAGAAGAATGGGTCCTGGTAATCACGCGAGGGAAAAAACAACAATTAGCAGGAGAAGAAAAAAATTACCATAAATAAGAAAAATAGAACTCAGGACTTTATTAAGAAGTTAACATTAGTCGTTATCCAGAAGGATTCTTGGTGTTTTGTATAGAGCTGGTCGGGAAAGAACTGATGGCTACTAGTGGCAGGTACTGCTCGCAGGAGAAATAGAATGTAAGCCAAGGTGGGGTTAGTTGAAGGATGTTGGCTAGATTGGTAAGTAAATGGAGCCAGTATTTAGATGTCTATCCAGTTCCATAAAAATTATACATTTCACCAAGTCATGGTCTACACTATTGATTTCTTCTCTAGGAGAGGGAAGAATTGAATGTTGTCAATAATTATGGACTAGAGATCTTTTGGAGCCAAAAGAAACACAGCCTTGAGTCTTCATTGTTATGGTAGTGGCTATATATCAGACTGCTGTGTGTTTCTGTGTAAATGTGGTGAACTGGGGGAGAGCAAGAAGCCAAGAAGGAAGAGAATAAAATCCATGGGAAAAGGTTCCTAAAATAACAGTGATGAAACTGGGTCTTACCCTGCCAATTTAAGTGTATTTCCTACTCTTTTCCAACGGGCATATTCACAATAGGCCTGAAGTAATTGCTTCCTGACTGATTGGCAGCCCAAAGAAGGCACAGTGCCCAGTATTAGGTTTTGGAATCAATAGCAGGGAGATCTAAATCCTGGCTCTGCTACATGCTACATAGTAGCTGTGAGTTCTTGGGTAGTTACTTAACTGCTCTAGGCCTCTGGTTTTCTTATCTGTAAGGTGCAAACATTGATACCAATACCTACTTTACAGAGTTCTTGAAAAGATAACATGAGATAATTCATTTGCTCAGTAGAAAATAAACAATAATCTCTAGCCTAGGGCCTGATATAGTAAGTATTTTTTTTAGATAATGCTTTATTGACTTTGCCCGTCCCATGTATTTTTTATGCAACCTTGAGCTTTGAAATTTTATAGTCAGTCTATCTGCTTGGACTTTTATTACCTGCCTCATAATTCTGTGCATTCTGACCCTGCATATGAAAGAGAGAACCAGTCTCTTTCTTAGGATGAGGTGTGAGAGAAGTCTCTTACAGGAGGGTACCTTGGAGCTAAGACTCCAGGGATCTATTTAGGTTTGACAGATGAGCATCCAGGAATACTGGCTTGACCTGTTTTGTTGCTACTGGGTCTCCAGGGATGATCACTGGCCCTTCATTCATTCAGCAAATGTATTCAGTATCCTGGGGATATTGCAGTGAACAAAAGACTAAGTTCTGACTAAGAACCTAATAGAAGTCATGTTCTCAGGAAGAGAATATAAAATTAGAAAATATAAAATATGCCCAAAGTTGGATGATGATAAGTGTTACGGAGAGAAATAAAACAGGATAAGGGGACATCTGTCTCTCAGATAAAGTAGTCCCTGTGCCTTTTCTTGGGGAAGTAAATTTCAGGTAGAGATGTGAATCAAATAAAGGAGCCAATCACCTGGAAGAAGAGCATTTTAGGCAGAAGGGGCAAGTGCAGACATTCTCAGGTGGCCTGTGAGAATGAAGCTAGGTGGGGGTGCCACATTATGTAGGGTGGTAAGAACTTTGGGTTTTATTCTGAATGTGATAGGAAATAATTACAGCATTTTCAACTAGGGGATGTCATGATCTACTTTAACTTTTGACTACCAGACTGTTTTATTTTCTAGGTGCTGGCATCTAAGATATGATAAGAAAATAGTTTCCTTATTTTTTTTTAAAGATTTATTTATTTATGCATACAAGAACTGGGGTATAGGCCAGAGGTGTGGGGGGTGAGAGGATTTACCAGAGACAGAGTGGGGAACAGAACAGGCAGAGTGACTGAAGTACACTGCTGAGGGGAGCAGCGGGCGAGTCAGGAGAAGTCTGCTGTGCCATGTGGGTTGCTCCCTGGCCGGCCAGGGGATCGAGCTCTGGCTGCAGAGGCTGCGGACAGCTTCATAGGTTGCATCTTAACTCCTTACACCACCAGGGAGGCCCCAATTTCCTTATTTTTTAAATTGTATCTTCCTGGTGCCCCATAGTTTATTCAGGACAATTAAAATACACTGGGCTGATAACTTTAGGGACTGTTCTGACTCATTTACCAAGCTCTGACCAAGCTCAGAATCCTTTATTTCTGTTCTATTCTCCTTTTGACCTTAATAGTAAATACATACTTTCAAGGACAGAACTTCCATAAACCCATCATCTTATCCTAGCTGTTTGTCTGTATAGCTTTACTTAGTTGTGATTCCTGACTCTTCCTTCTCCTCCCAGCATTTCTCTGTAAGTGTTTTTCTAGTTTTTGTATAATCTTTATATTAATCATTAACTGAGTTATTATTTACTGATTATTTTAAGTGGATTTTTAACAAGATTTTATGGAATAGACAGACACAGAGGAGGGGATCGCTACATGTAAGGGTCGTTGTGCATGTGATGATGGAGTTAATAGTAGAATTTACCATTTATTGAGTGTCTGTTGAGACCCAGGTGCTGAGCTGAGTCTTTTACTGAGTGTCTCAGCTCTCATGGCAACTCCTTGAAGCATGTAATAGTATCTTACCTACTTTTCATCAAAGAGAAAATAGAACCTGGAGGGAGCTGTCACTTACCCAACTTCTTACAGCTACTAAGGAGCTCAGTGGGAATTTGAGTCAAAATCTGATTCCGGAACTTAAACATTCAGTTTTAACTCACACAGTATACCAACTCCCAGCTACCATGTTCTGTAAAAAACAAAATAAAATACCTTTTCGTTTTGAAATAATTTCAGACTTATAAAAAAGTGACAAGGGATGCCGTAAAAATTTTTGCCCGTGGAGCCCCTAAATGTTATCATTTTACTGTGTTTTCGCTGTAATTTTGTCTACTTGTCTCTTTATAAACAGACACATATGTACATTTTTCTGAATCTTTAGAGAGTAAGTTATAGACATCAAGCTTTGTGAACTAAGAGAGAATTAAACCCTAAGACAGGCTAAGCCCTAAAGTCTTAAGAGAATCAAGCCCTGAAGTCCTAAGGTATGTAGTGAATTGACTTCTCTTCATGTACAGTGCTACTTGTTACACGCCATCCTTAGGAAAACAGAAAAAATAGTTGTTCAAATCATTTTCTGTAGAGCTGCATTTTCTCCAGAATTCCAGTCAAGAAGGCCTGTCCTAAATATTCAGGTTTTTTCCCCCTAACAGAGGATATGTTCTTGTATTACCATTACAGTCACCGAAGCCAGGAAATTTTCATACAGTACTGTTATGGAACCTCCAGACCTTATTCACATTTAACCAATTGTTCCACTAATGTCCTTTTTGGGAAAAGACTGTTTTTCGCTGTCCAAGGTGGCATCCACCATCACCATTTCACTTCATTGTCATGTCGTCTTTATTGTGGACCATATGCCCAGACTGTCTTTCTTAACCTTTACATTAAAAAAAGTTTAAGCCATTTACCTGGTGGAATTCTCCTTAATTTGGGTTTATCTGCTGTTTTACAATTAGAGTCAGGTCATGTGTTTGGGGAGATAACACAGAAGAGTGTTCATCATTTTCCATCATTGAGGAGAGTTGATGTATCTTGTTACTTTGTTAACTTTGATCACTTGGTAAAGGTAGTATTCTTCATGTGTTTATACTGTGAAGTTACTTTTTGTCTTTGTAATTATTAATACACTTGGGATCCCTTCTTGGCCTTTTGCATAAGATCAAGTGTAATAATACCTAGTGGGAAGATATTTTAAGATTGTGTAAATATTCTCATTTTCATAAACTTTTCATGCATTGGACTTTTGCCTGAAACAAGACTCTTCTTTTGATCAGACATGGTGGTTTTTTTAAATTCCACTTCTTGGTGTCTTTCATAGAAGGAAAAAAAACTTTGGTTTTACTCCCTCTTCACTTATTTTTTAATGAATATGGATTCTTACTGTGTCACTAGTTTGTCACTATCATTGTCTTTCCATATTCTGCTTATTCCAGCTTTGTGCAGTGGTGGTCCCTTGAGCCTGCCACCTGGGTCCTTGGGGCTTGTTGCCGCCCCCCACCCTCCTTTTGCGTGCTTCCTTACTTCCTGGCACAAGATGTTCGAGGCTCACCTTGTACTAAGTCTTGGAAAGGAGAAGAGGTATTTTTAGATAAATGATGCTAGAACATGAGGGTAGTCATATGAAAATTAGTAAAATTTGATTTCTACTCTACACTATATACCAAAATCAACTTCAAATAGGTCAGGGATGGGAATGAACCGAACTCATGGTTTGGGTGAGACGGACCATGACCCCTGGATCTGGTGGTGGGCACCTGATCTAGTCCTGGACAAACACAATCACAGACCCATAACCACCCCTACCCCTACCTTGCACCCACAATGAAAATGGGCACGTGTGAAACTAATGAAAGTCCTGCCTAGGATGTTTGCCAGAAAAAATTTCTGTATTTTTTCTTGGGATGCTAAGATGGTAGGACACAATCTTGGTGCAATTAAGGGCTC